CCCGGCTAATTTTTTGTATCTTTAGTAGAGACGGGGTTTCACCGTGTTAGCCAGGATGGTCTCGATCTCCTGACCTCGTGATCCGCCTGCCTCGGCCTCCCAAAGTGCTAGGATTACAGGCGTGAGCCACCGCGCCCGGCCTTTGCTTGCTTTTTAAAATTATACAACTACGCATGGTATTTGTAAATGCACACAGAAGGTGTCTGGAAGGGCCCACTAGGACTCCACCTGCAGTTGATTCCCTGTTGAAGTGAAGGTGGGTCAGGACGGTTGGGAGCTGCCTTCACTTTTCCCTTTATAAACTTGTAGGTTGTTTGCGTTGTACTTATATGGGAAGCCTTAATAACACTTTGTTTCCGATTAAAACAAAAGTCAGCAGTCTGCCAGGGGACAGCCTTTAGGCAGTACAGGCACTGCCCACCAGGCAGGGAGGGGGTGGCCCACAAGGGTGGGTTTGAGGCTTCCTGTCCCTGGTGCCCACCTCCATCCGCTTCCTGAGCCTCAAACCAAGCCCTACCCATGGCCCTCCTAGGTCGCTGACCCCGCCCTACAAGCGACAGGATGGAAAACCACGGAGTGGGGGCAGGGCGATCAGGCAGGAGGCCTGATGAACTCGACTTCTGAGGACTCAGAGGAACACCTCTAGCCCAAGGCCACCCAGGGGGTTGGGGGCTGAACCAGGGAAGGAAACATCCTGTCCCCAGCCCTTCTCACTAACCCAGGCCAGTGACCCAAATCAAACGCCCAGAAGTGAAAGGGTGCTTCGGCCCTGCTCCTGGACGGCATCTGGACGTGGAGCTGCCCGTCCGGCCTGCCATGTCTCTGGGCCCAGGCTCGCTCCAGCAGGATTTGCTTCAGGCCTGGCTTCCCTTCTTGAGCCTCAAGAACGACAGCAACCATCTCAATAATAGTAATAACAAGGATGAGAAACAGAACGGCTCACTCTGTGCCAGGCACTTTGCAAACACACCTCATTGACTCCTTAAGGTGGCCTATGAGTTGGGTATTGAGGTTAACCCACTTTCCAGAGGGAGAAACTGAGGTTCAGAGAACACGCAGGTGGCAGGGCTGTTTCCACCAGGCCTGCCTGTTTAATAACCGCAGACGTGTTCTACACGGAAGCCTTGGGCCTGTGAGAGCTGGGCCAGGCCACACCAGGACGTTCCTGCATGGTGGCTGTGGCCAGTCCTCGTGGGCCTCCCCCGCAGCCGTTCCCCCACGGTCTGGGAGAGCTGGCCTCTGCTCTGACCCTTCCTGCCCCAGGGGTAGGAGAGGCCCGTGTACCCCCCTGCTTCCTGACCCTTAGCAAACTTCTTTGAGCTGTTAGGATTTTTCCCTTCCATGATATTCTGGAAAGAGCCCTAAGAGCCCCCCTCACCTGCCCCAGCTCCCAATTCAAAGAAACCAAGATCAAAGGCCAGAGAGAGAACAGAACTTGCCCAAGACTCCGCAGCGGGTCCTGGGCAGAGCCAGGCTACGAGCCAGACCTGAGGACTCTGGCCTGTCTCCCTCTGGGCTTTTGGCTAGGGGAGGGGCTTCTGGAGAGGCGAGGCCTGTGAGAGTGGCAGGCAGGTGGGGGCCTGCACACAGGGCCTGCTCCATAGCCTAGGACCTGGGCTTCCGGCCAGAGGGTCTGGAACAAGGAAGTACTGCCTCTTCCCCCACAGAGGCTGGAGAGGGCAGACGGGCCTAGATGAGCCTAGACGCTAGGGCCCACCAGTCCGCCAAAGCCAGATGCTCCTGTCCTCACCTGGATGTGTGAGGTTTTTCGTTTCATTTTTTCCTTACAAGATGAAGGTGTGTGAACTGTGAGCTGAGCTCTGGGCCTAGCCCCATGGCCCTTCTAAGGAAAAGGCCCCTTAGGACGCCTCCGGGCTGTGAGGCTTACCTGGCTTCTTCTCTGGGTTTGGAGGAAGTAGCGTAGGTCCCTAGCCAGTCTGCAGAGGGGCAAAGGAACCAGGGTATGAACAGGAAGGACAACAGAGGCCCAAAGTGTGGCTGCAGACCCACGTGATCCTGGGGGCTGTGGGGAGGCTCCTGCCCTGGGCTCACCTCAAGGCAGCTGCAGGAACCGCTGTGGCAAAAGCAGAGTCTTCCGTTTCCTGGTCAAGACAGCTTTCAGCAGACCCCGAGCCAGCCACCAGACCTGTCAAGGATCATCTCCGTCTGCCTGGAGGAAGTGACTGACGCATCACTCCTGCCAGGTCACCACCCCTAGAAAGACACAGGATCTGGGCCAACCCCGCAGTAAATACCCCACCCAAGGGCAGAGCCACGTTAGAGGAGCCTGTGTGTCCTGGGCCCAAGGGCTGCGTCAGCCTCTTCCCAGGGGATGGCAGCCTCCCAGGAGTGAGTGGAATTCAAATCCCATCAGAACCAGCGGACCCTGGACCTTGGACACTCAGGAAGAGGCAGGGAGTAGGGAGACAACCTATGTGGCAGGGGCTTCCTGCCATCTGTCACCACGAAGGAAGGGCAGGGCCAGCCGAGGCAGACGAACCCCACGAAAAATGCTGGCTCCCCATGTCAAGTGCCTGCTATATCATAAGCCACAGGGACAGTCCACTGTCTGAATCTGTGAGGTGGGGACTATTTTAACCTTTTACAGATGACAAAACAGGCCCAGAGAGGGGCACTAATCTGCCAGGACCCCAACAGCAGAAAGTGGGGCCAGAAAGAAGTCAGGCCTTGACTCCAGGGGCCCCCCCGCCAGCCCGGAAACCCCCTCCACTTCCGCCTACCAGGCTCCATCCCTCCCTTACCTCTGCCTGACACCTGTTCAGAGCCCCTCGCTCTGTGCTGTGGCTCCAGTGCCAGCCTGCTCCCTGCTTCGCCAGCTCAGGGCTCTCCTCTCCCCTCCCATTCCTGCAGAAACTTCTGGGTCCATCTGGCACTGGGCAGGGGGAGGCAGGGCACAAAAGCAGTGCTGTGAACCAAGCACCAGGTCTCAGGCCCCTCTGTGAAAGCCAAGGAGGGAGAGTGTGCCGGGTCACCCAGAGCCCCCGGGACTACTGGCTACATAATTTCTGGGATCCAGTGCAAAATGAAAATGCAAGTCCTCTTGCAAAAAAAAAAAAAAAAAAAAAAAGAAAAACCTAAGAATTTCAAGTTGGCAACAGCAGAGCATTAGCAGAGGGCCCTGACCCCTGGAACTGGCAGCTAGAACCCCAGGGCTGAATACCAGCTGACAGCCCGAGGCCCTGGCCCAGTCCTCTGAGTCTTCCAGTCCCCAGATGAAGCAGTGATGCCTGGGAGGGGTGATGCCTGGGGGCTCTCTCCAGCCCAAGGGTGCAGGGCTGAGGTCCTCGGGCTCAGCTCTTAGACCTGGTATTGCACCCTGGCCCAGCCGCTCCACAGTCATCCGGCTTCAGCTGAGTGGCCTCAGCTCATCTGTAAATCCGGCTAGCACCGGCCCTCCTCTGAGGATGGCAAGGTTCTGCTGGTGGGTCTTTTCTCCTCACTTTATTTTATTTATTTATTTATTTAATTTTTTGAGACGGAGTCTCGCTCTGTCGCCCAGGCTGGAGTACAGTGGCCAGATCTCAGCTCACTGCAAGCTCCGCCTCCCGGGTTCCCGCCATTCTCCTGCCTCAGCCTCCTGAGTAGCTGGGACTACAGGCGCCCGCCACCTCGCCCGGCTATATTTTTGTATCTTTTAGTAGAGACAGGGTTTCACCGTGTTAGCCAGGATGGTCTCGATCTCCTGACCTCGTGATCTGCCCGTCTCGGCCTCCCAAAGTGCTGGGATTACAGGCTTGAGCCACCGCGCCCGGCCCTTCTCCTCACTTTATAGGTGAGGAAAATAAGGCCTGAGCCAGGCTAGACTCCCTCACAGCACCCACCCAGGGCTGCCCTCTGCCTTCCTGCTTTGCAGGGAGACTAAACCCACTTTCTTTCTTTTCTTTTTTTTTGAGATGGAGTCTCACTCTGTCGCTCAGGCTGGAGTGCGGTGGCTCACAGCAACCTTCGCCTCCCGGGTTCAAGCGATTCTCCTGCCTCAGCCTCCCGAGTCGCTGGGATTACAGGCACCCGCCACCACATCCTGCTAATTTTTCGTATTTTTAGTAGAGACAGGATTTCACCATGTTGGCCACGCTGGTGTCAAACTTCTGATCTCAAGTGATCTATGATCTGCCCACCTCGGCCTCCCAAAGTGCTAGGATTACAGGCGTGAGCCACTGTGCCTGGCCCACTTGTTTTTTTTTTTGGTAGAGACTAGTTTTGTCATGTTGCCCAGGCTGGTCTCAAATTCCTGGTCTCAAGCAATACTCCCGCCTTAGCCCCTACTGTGCCAGGCCCAACCCCAGATTTAACAGCTAATTTAACTTCCCATTTGACCTAGAACCAGGGAAGCAGTATGGGTGGAGGACTTTCCCTCCCACTCAGAGTCCTTCCTCCTGGCCCTGGCTCTTTTCTCACTGGGTACAGAACGGGGTTCCCAAAGAAGTCTCTGGCTTGGGGTCAGTTTCCTGGGCCAGAGCAGTGAAGGAACCAGCCCCCAGGAGCAGCCCTGACCTACTGGGGAAGGGGTTGGGCTGGGGCCACCAGCAACAGGTTGCTGGAGAAGAAACTGAAGCCCAGCCAATGTGGGCCCGGGTAGGGGCCTCAGGGATTCCAGTCAACAGCTTCTGGGACAGCTGGGCTCGGTGGATCACTGCTGCAATCCCAGCACTTTGGGAGGCCGAGGCGGGTGGATCACCTGAGGTCAGGAGTTTGAGACCGGCCTGGCCAACATGATGAAACCCCATCTCTACTAAAAATACAAAAAATGAGCTGGGCGTGGTGGCGGGCACCTGTAATACCAGCTACTTGGGAAGCTGAGGCAGGAGAATTGCTTGAACCCGGGAGGTGGAGGTTGCAGTGAGCCCAGATTGCGCCACAGCACTCCAGCCTGGGCGACAAGAGCAAAACTCCGTCTCAAAAAAAAAAGCTTCTGAGATTGTGACAGGGAAAGAAGCTCTCGTCGCCACATTAGACACATGACCACGCTAGAGACAGTGTCCAGAAAACACACGTTTACCCGTACGTTCCTGATACGGCCCCGGCAGTCACAACTCCAAGGCCCCTTCACCCAACGAACCCCAGGCTCCTGGCTGCCCCAACCAGGGCGGCCGGCCTGAGAAGTGTGGCACCAAAAGGTAGTAGGGGTGGCTGGGGAGGAAGGACCAGGACTGGCACAAGGTCATGATGCTGGTGAGTAGGGGGCCATCAGCCCGAGGGACAAAGGCCACTTGACAGACCTGGAGGTGGGGTGAGCCCCCAAATGCCATGAATTACTCAGGGAGTAGAGGTGGAGACAGGGCTCCTCATTCCACTCCCCTTCAAGTCATGAGGCCTGAGATGGCTCCAAGTGTCGCCAGAGTGGGGCACTCCACCCAGCACGTGGCAGGAGGCAGGATCCATAAATTAAATGTTTTTGTGGAGTGTGATGGCCTGGGATGGGACATCCCAGAGGCTTCCCAACAGCATGGCGGCTGGCAGGGCAACGGAGGCTACTCAGTCCTCCAGGACGGATGGGCGAACACGATGGGCCTCTTCTTGGCCCAGCGGGAGAAGACTGCCTTCTCAGTGATGAAGCGGTGGGCGCTTCGGGGCGCCTGCTCGTGTGCCAGGTACATCTGACATTCATCCAGTCGGCCCTTCTCGAAGTAGTGGTAAGGCACTGAGGGGTGGCTCTTCTCCCTGTGGGGTGGGGAACAGGGCTGGTGTGGGACAGAACTCACTCACCTCCTGCCACACCCTGCTGCCTACCTTGACCACCCCTTGCCAGGCCCGTGGGCTCATGGAGACCCATGCCTGATCCCTGGGAAGGCCAAGACACATAGGGGAGTAGCAAATCCCAAAGGCCAGGTCTCAAGTCCTGGCTCTGCCTCTTGCTAGCTGGATGACTCTGGGCCAGAGATGGACCCTTTGAGCCTCAATATCCCATGTGTAAAATGCAGATGGTCACATCCACCTTCTAGAACGAGCGCGTAGATCAAGAGATGGAGACTGCAAGCACCCTGCTAGTGGTGCTGGGCTCCTGGTGAGGGACGAGCCCCTCATTCCCATGTCACAGAGCCACCAGCCCTGCACGCCCACCTCCCCATCAGCATCACAGGGGCCAGCCGTGTGGCCAGGGCTATGGCTGGGGCACAGGGACACCTGTCACCTGGGTGACCTGTTCTGAACTCGTTAGTTTCTGTGATATTGAAATATAATAATATAGGCCAGGTGTGGTGGCTCACACCTGTAATCCCTGATCCCTGGGGAGGCCAAGGTGGGTGGATCACCTGAGGTCAGCAGTTCGAGATCAGCCTGGCCAACATGATGAAATCCCGTTTCTACTAAAAATACAAAAAATTAGCTGGGCGTGGTAGCACGTGCCTGTAATCCCAGCTACTCAGGAGGCTGAGGCAGGAGAATCACTTGAACCTGGGAGGCAGAGGTTGCAGTGAGCCGAGATTGCGCTACTGCACTCCAGCCCCAGCCTGGGCAACAAGAGCAAAACTCCGTCTCAAAAAAAAAAAAAAAAAGAAAGAAAGAAAGAAAAGAAATATAATAATATAACGATGGTACAAAATCATACCATAAACATATCTGAACTTGATGTCATGCTGGTATATAATATCAAATAGTATATAATATCAAAAATCATATGTAATATCAAAAGCTAAAACATATAAAATATATCACATATATATGTGTGTGTGTGTGTATATATCTATTTAGGCCCTATATATATAGGCCCTGACTGTGGTGAGCACTTTTGTGAATTATTCCTCCCCTAAATGTTTCAACAACCTTCCAAGGAAGATGTGGTTCTTTTCTCTATTTTCCACATAAGGAAACAGAGGGTCTGCAGGGTGGCATGACTGGCCTGTGACCAGCCTGTGGCCACAACGAGCAGCACCGGGGTTGTTGGTAAGGCAGCCTGTTTGACGCTGAGCTCTTTCCCAAGGCCCAGAGCCCAAGGGGTATCTGTGCTATGGTCACCTACCATGAAACCCACACACTCTGTGCCCCCACAGCTCCCAAATCCTCTGGCTTAAGGCCTAGGAGGGCTCACAGTGCTCCCCGTGTCCCCGCGTGCCCGGCCCGGCCGGTCTGACCTGCAGTAGCTGTCGCTGACCATCCCATAGACCACGATCTCCTCACACAGCTCCAGCGCGAGGATCATGGTGAACCAGCCGGTGCTGAGGAAGGAGCCCGACTGCCTCCTGGGGGTGGGTGGGGGGGACAGGGGGACGTTATCAACATGGGGCCACGTGGTGGCTCCAGGCCCCAGTGGCACTTGGTATTTTCCCAGTCCAGGGCTACGCACCTCAGCCTCTTGTGGGGGACCCTGGGGGAGGCTGGGGAGGGGGCAGAGCCAGCCCAAGGCCAGCAGTGGGTGACAGGCAGAACGGCACACAAACCCAGGCCTGATCACCTCCTCAGCACCCAGCGGGACTTGGGCCCAGTTACACTTTGCAGGGTTTGAGCAAACCCCTGGATGATGGGTGTAGGGGCTCTGGCCATGTCCTCTCCTTATCTAAGGGACCAGGCCTGGGGAGACAGCAGGAAGCAGCAGGGCACCGAGGTTTGAAGTTGGGCGGGGTTGTCTAGAGTCCAAGGATCTTCCACTTGAACCCTGGCTCTGCTATGGGCATCACATTTTGCTCGTGAACCTCTCTGAGCCTCATGACCGGTCTGTGAAGTGGAGATAATTCTAGGGGTTATAGGGAGGGAACACTGTCAGCTCAGACCCTGCCCCATGTCCCCATGCTCCACTTGGAGTCAGGGGCTAGGTGGTGGCCCCAGCCTCAGCTCTCTGGAGGCAGCAGCCCTGGGTACCCTCCCAGCCAAGGGCCACCGCCCTCGACCTCTACAGGGCAGGTATGAACTGGTTCATTCATTCAAACTGGGCCCCACTCAGGCCCTGTGCTGGCCCTGAACCTGCCTCATCTGGTGCTAACATTCCCAAGGGAAGGAGACAAATAGATAAACAAGTAGCTAGGAGACAAATCTATAAGCAAGATGATGGCAGAGGGTGACACCTGCTGCCAAGACAAGGAAACAAAGGAATGGATAAAGAATGCCAGGGCTGGCCGGGCG